AGCAGGTCGAGAAGTGGTTTGGCGCGCGCATCGGCGGTGCCATCGGTGCCATTGGACCCGACGCCCAACGGATAGGCCATCTGTTGGGGCTCACACTTCGCGTCCTCTCACGCGGACACGGCAATGCTCGCCAGGTGCAGGTGCTTGGGGGGGCACTGGGCGCACGCCATGCAGTTTCGACGGGAGGCGTCCAGCGTTTTGTCGAAGTACTGGGCGGCCTTGCGCCGCTCAGGTGGGCGCCGCTCCCGGAGGCGGTGCGTTCGGAGCTGTAGAATGCCGTGCTCCTTCTGCCAGTCATGGTCATGTGGCTGCGATTGCCGCCAGACCCTGTGCTCGCCGCCTCGGGCGCGTCCGAGACAGGCGGCGGCGTCTGCGCCGCGCGCGAGCTGTCGCCGAAGGGCCGCGTAGCCGTCCTTCGGGATTTGGCGCTGCTCGACGCGTGCGCAGCAGATGAGGTTGGTCTCGTCGGTCTCTGCGACTGCGTGGGAGGTGCTCGTCGTGCCTTCTACCTGCTCGGTCTGGCCCCTGCGATGCACTGCAGCATCGAGTCAGATCCAGCGCCGACGGCAGTCGCCGAGGCGCGCTGGCCAGACGCACGCGAGCTGGGCGACCTCGAGGGCTTGCGCGAGCAAGTGGTGAGGGCCCCGCGCAGGAAGCATTGAAACCTCAAGAATCTCTTCATCTGCGCTGGGCGCCGCTGCCGGGGGGCCCCTTCGGCTACGCTGTCCAGGGCCCGGATCTTTTCAAGGTCGCGGAGGTCATGGGCTGGTTCAGGGAATCCTTCGACGACTGCGTCGTGTTGAGGCTGGTGGAGAAAGTGCAGACCATGGGCCCGGCCTCGCGGGAGCAATGCGCGCGGCTGCTGTAGCCCAGGCGGGGCTAGCCCCGTCATTCGGCCGCGCTATTATTGGTGCGATTGGACAGTGCAGCTGCGCGCGCAGACGCGGTTCGTCGAGCGCGAATGGGGTTGCAGCGCTCAGATTCGCGCTGAGTGGCCCTCGACCGCCGCCATGGTCGTCGAGGCAGGGGCCAGGCGGCCGACGGGCTGCGAAATGCCTTTCGCAATGCAAGAGACGCAACCCCCCGCAGAGCTCCGAGGGGCTTGAGCATTGTGACGCAAGTGTCGTGGCTAGGTGGAGGCATGATGGCATGCGGTACCCGCCGCGCGAGTACATGGCGGAGAACTGCTTGGAGGAGCGCCCCGGTGCTGGAAAGCGCCCAGGACGGTTGCGACCTCCACTTGCCCGCGAGAGGGAGCCAATGATGGGTTGCCCAGTCGGGCGCGCTGCCCGTGCCCTCGGCTGGCCAACAGGGCCCGCCAAGGGCATGCTCGAAAATGTTCGTTGCGGCCCCATCGGGGGGTGCCTTCCATGCGGCGGTGATCGCATGGCTGCCGGTGTCTGCGCTGTGCGAGCTGGAGGCGGTGAAGGTGCGGCCGCGGTTCAGCCGGTGCTGGGGAGAGCTCGCAGACCAAGAAGCCGAATATGTAGCCAAGGGTCTGGGCTTGAATCGGGCCCCCATGGAGTTGGAGAAACAAGCCGTCGCCTTGCTCCACCGCTCCGCAATGTTCAAAGGGTCGGACGTCCGACTTGCCGACCAGGTCGTACTCGTGCCACGCATCTGGCCTCGCCGGGGGCTGGGCCCATCTCGGTGGCGCTGGAAGGTCTTGCTCGCCTTCCCCTTGTCCGGCCAACGCATCAACGTGCTGGAGCTGAAGGCCGTCCTGACGACGCTGCGGTGGCGGGCGAGACGGTCCTCGTGCCTTGGGTGCAGGGTGGCGCGTGCTCTCGATTCTCAGGTATGCCTGAGCGTGCTCGTGAAAGGTAGGTCCAGCCCTTTTCAATTTCAAACGGTTCTCAGGCGCATCAGTGTTCTCGTTTTGGCGGCCAGCTCCTCTCCAGTGTTCGCATGTGTTCCTTCCGCCGATCATCCGGCGGATGCGCCCTCGATCTGGTGCCTCGCCTGAAGCAGAACGAGGGGCGCCGTCGCCGGCAGCAGGCGAGAGCAATTTCAGGTACGCTGAGAGAGAACCAAATAAAACCAAGCACGCGAGCACGTTGCAATGCAGCTGTCGAACGCTTCTTCCCGCGGGTGGAATGCATGCGTTTGACTTCGCCCGCGACGACTGCAGAATTCGACCTGCTCGTAAATGATTAGATAGAGCACCTGTGGCAGGAGGGCGATAGCCTGGCCCTCGCCGGCGACGCCATGAGCGGACTCACCGCCTGCGTGAGGTCTTTGACAGTTGGAGCTCCTCGAGTGCGTGGCAGGGGTTGGTCAGGAGGGGAAAAACACACAGACGCAATTAATCGTCGATCCCCAAGAAAATATTGGAAAATAAATTGGGCGGGAAGACAAAAAACAAGAAAATATGGGAAAATCTGGGGGGCCATTTGATTGGCGTGTATTTCTTTGTGTCCTTGGGCCCCATTGGTTGGGGCCTCCCTGCCGAGCGCCTCCGCCGTGGGATGAAGCAGCTTGCGCCCTGGCTGGGCATGCATTGCGGAGGCGAACGGCAGCGGTTTCGCTCTCTTCGTGCGCGCCGCGTGCCGGTGCGTCGTGAGAGCGGGGGGTGCCTTCAGTCTCGCTGTCGGCGGTGCGGTCATCTCGCCCAATCTCAGACGGGCGGTTTTGAGTTTGGGACTTCCGAAAGGAGGGCGGCAAAGACGCGAGAAGAACGAGAGCGCCGTCTCCAAGGGCCCCTCTTTTGATCGAGCTCGCGACCCTGGCAAGCGCGGGGAAAGACCCGAGCTCATTCTTCAAAACAAGAAAATACACGGGGTCTCAATGCCAAATGCGCAGAAATGTCAGTAAATATATTGCCTCGCCGAAGTTGTCGGCCGATTTTCGGCCTTGCAGTCTTAGGAGAGGTGGTGCAACTGCTCATTGCCAGCACTTTTCGTCGTTGTCGCTTGCGACCGCGAGGGGGCGCTGGGCGAACCGGCGGACGTGCAGGCGCTGCGTAGATGAGGCACGGCTTGCGTTGCAACGGATGTCTCTGACTCAAAGTGCCGAGAAGGCCATCGAGCAGGGGGCGGGGTCTTTCCGAAACCTGCTCTTGTTAGAACCTCAAGCTGAAGCTGTTACCTGAGCGGGCACAGGGGCGTGGTTATCTGAATGCCAGGGCACAGACTTAACAAAATTGCCCCCCCCTGTTAGTCGCCCCGCTCAGGTAAGCAAAGCTGCCCTACGAACGCGGCCGAAATTAGGGCGCCAGAGTGCTGACAAGTCGTGGGCCTGGGAGCAGAAGTGGCTTCGCCAATAGTGGGATGCGTGGTGGTGCTCTCGTGTCGGCTTCGGGTGAGGCGGGGGCGTGGGCCCTCGTCGCTCGATGGGCGCGCGTGGGGCGAGGCGGGGGCACGGGCCCTCGTCGTTCGACGGGTGCCGGGCACGCGTCGGGCGAGGAGGAGGCATGGGCCTCCGTCGCTCGACGAGTGCCGCCGAGAGCACCTTGCATCCAGCGGCTATTGGCCCAGCCCGGGGCAAAATGCCCAGAGGCAGAGGGGGCGGGAAGAAGGTTTTACGCAATAGCATAGCCCCCGAAGGGTTGCGCGCCGACCCGCCCTGGCGCCTCCAGAAAGCACTCTTGCCCACCCCATTCCCCCCAAGTGCTCGCAAGTTGCAGCTTTCGCGCGGGTAGTGCTCTCGTGTCGGCTTCGGGTGAGGCGGGGGCATGGGCCCTCGTCGCTCGATGGGCGCGCGTGGGGCGAGGCGGGGGCACGGGTCCTCGTCGCTCGACGAGTGCCGGGCACGCGTCGGGCGAGGCGGAGGTATGGGCCTCCGTCGCTCGACGAGTGCCGCCGAGAGCACCCTGTATCCAGCGGCTATTGGCCCAGCCCGTGGAGCAATGCCTAGAGGCAGGGGGGGCGGGATGAATATTTTGCGCAGTTTATAACACGCATAAGATCCCCTGAGTGCATGCACGGCTTAGGAAACAACGAGGGTGTTGTTGGTACGAATACAAGTACGTTGCTAGTATTAACGACGGTCATATCAGTAGTGATACTAGTATGCGTATTACCATCGCGCTCGCATTAACAATGTTGAAACTATTGATATGAATCATACTGCCAACGATAATAACATCACTAATTATACTAATACGAATGCTCTCGTAGTGTTATCACCAGTAATGCGACTACTCATATTAACAATCCCAGTAGTCATGCTCATAATCGAATACCGTACATACTTTTATTATTACTACTACTACTGCTACTACTGCTACTACTACTACTGCTACTACTACTACTACTACTACTACTACTACTACTACTACTACTACTACTACTACTACTATAGAGAGTACCACTGCTACTATCATTGCCAGCACTACTAGTCATATTATTGGTAATACTTGTGCTAGTACTCGTACTTATACTAATGCTAGTACTAATGCGAATAGTAATACTATCACGAATATCAGTACGAATACTCATACTAACATGGTTATTTATACTGATACTAATAACAATTCTAATACTGATATTCATACTAGTACTAGTACTCGTAGTAGTATTATTCTTATTACTGGTACTACTACTAGTACTATTACTAAAACTAATATCATATTGATACTGATACAACTACTGTTACTAGTAATAAGAAGACCGCGAACCACTAAAACACAATATTAACAATATAACCCTGCTAGAACTAGTTGTAATATTTCTAGTAGCGCCAATACAAATAACATTAGCAACACTAGCGGCAATAGTAACAAAACTACTCGCACTGTTACCATTAATAATACTACTCATGATCGTAATCATAGTAAACCTATCAATAACAATAAGCGTAATAGTCATACTAATCATAATGATGATAAACGGTCTAACAAATAACCCTTCGGAGGTCCGCGCGGATTTCTTGGATCGGCATTGTACCCCTTGGCTGCTCTTCTGGCGCCGCCCCTGGCGCGCTCCGGGCGCTGGGATGGGGGACCACCACCGGTCCAAGAAATCTGCGCGGACTTCTGGAATACAACTCTTCCTTCCCAGGACTGGAAGGAGACGGTGCTCACGATCGCGCAGACCGCCAGCACCCGCCGTATACAAGACATAGTGATCGGCCTCCCGCTGGAGAAGGACGGGTCGGACGGCAAGATTGCGACGCTGGTGCGCTACTTCTCCCAGCTGCTGGCGGACGCCTGCCTGCCAGGGCCCTGGCGGCCCCTTCGAGGGGGTGGCGCGGGGGTGGGCTCCCACGGAGGCTTCTTGGAAGGCAGGGGGGGCTTGTTGGAAGTTCGCCCTGTTTTAAGAGAAACCCTCCTTGGAAGCCCCTGGGTCTTTGAGCACCTCACCACCCACCAAACCACCCCAACCCAACCCGAAGGCTCAAATTTACCCTCGATTTCCAGTGGGGAGGGGGTCGGGAAACATCGAAAAACACATGTGGAACCCTTACCCCCCCCAACCCGAAATTCGGGTCTTCGGGTTGGGTTGGGGTGGTCTGGTAGGTCGTCAGAACCCCCCCCCCGCCTTTCCCGAGACCCCCCCCCCGGCCTTCTCGTGAAGCCGCCCTCCTCGCGCCCCCCCTGTCCGGGCGCCGTCGAAGGGCTGCTCACGATCCGATTCGATCTCCGGGCTTCGGTTTCGATGTCGAACCGATCTTCGGGGGCGGAAAAGAGGGGGGTGATGACTGGGGGGGGGTGGATATCATGGCGTGGGCCATGATATCTCCCCAGATTTCATGGCGCCTCTTCTTGCTCCGTTACTTCCCTGGCCCCCCCGCTGGGCCGCGCACATGCCGCTGGTCATGATTTGCACCCCCCCCTCTTGGACACCCCCCTCTTGGCCGCTCCCGAGATCTGGTCCAGAGCGCGAGCTGGGCCCCCCTCCGGCCTGCAGGGGTCGCGCCCGATCGACGATCCGACCCCGATCGGGTTCCGCGACGCTGCCGCGATCCGATCCGCTGCCGATCCGTGGCCGACTTCGCGTTTCGACCGAGCTCAGAGACTCCGCGACGACCCAGGCGCGATCCGATCGATCTGCTTGCCAATCCGACCCGATGTCGCGATACCGGATCCAGCGCGTGGGCTCCGTGACGATGCCGAGGCGCGATCCGGCCCGCCCTGCCGATCCGGTGCGATGTCGCGAGTCGATCCAGCTCCTGCCTGTTCGCAGTCGGGGCGCTGAAGAGAAGAAGGAACCCTTTTGGTTGGGGAGGGGCTCGGTGTTCTGTAGTTGTTTTGCAGTTTGCCTTAGGTTTTCCTGAGGCTTTCCATGGGACACCGAAGTTGAACTCATGGAAAAAAGGGGCCTCGTTCCTTATTTGGGGTTTCTTAGGTCAACGCCCCGACTGCATGTGCACGGCCTCGCGGTCCAGACTCCTCGGCCGCGACCCCCATGGATACAGGGCAGCTCTTGCGCGGATCCCACCCGCGAAGCGCAGCCATGGGGTCGCGCCTCCCCAGAATTCAGACGTCGTGATTTCTTCACAGCTTGCCTTTCACCACTTCCCGGGACCGGCTCTTCGTCTGGGCAGTTTTTTCGACGGTCCTGGGTCCAGCCAGGGCACCCGGAAACACAAAATGGCCAAACATTTTTGTCATGATTTTCTCACAGCAGGAGGAGGTAGGTATCGGAATCCAGACCGCGATGGCATGGCCGTGGACATGTACATTGCTCGTTGAGGACGCCTGCCTGCTGCTGCTGGGCCCCCACGTCGGGGTTTACCTCTGGGACGAGCGATTCTCCACCACCTACGCCGCCATGAGGCTTGTAACCAGGCCCTCGTTCTACGCCGGCTCGTTCAAGTCCTGGCTGGACGGCCAGCGGGGGCTCGAGGTCAACGCAAAGGTCGCCGTGTCCTCCTCGTCCTCCCCCCTCCCCCTTATAGCTCTATTCAACCCCACTGCCGCCAACTGCTGCAGCCGATGTTTCGGGCCCTCTTTCGGTCCTGGGCTTGTTTTGTCAAGGAAGGTAGGACTTGACGCTAATCCACGTCCAAGTAGGATTTACACATCGCCACCTTCTTCTTCTTCTTCAAGGCCGCGTTTCATTGCATGAGCTTGCCTATGGCAGGTCTGCTCGTGTGGCGCTGCTATCGTTGTCCAGCGATCTTCTGCTTTCAGATACTCGTGCTTGTCACGCCGCGCTGAGATTCAGCGTGCCGGCCATCCTCACCTCTCGCCTCCCCCCGGACAGACAGCACGCACAGGCCTTGGGCGCCGCGTAATGGGGGGGTCATAAATAGGGGGGTGGCGAGCGTGGTCCGAAAAGGTGCCCAAACGGTACCTAAACGAGCCCCTGGGGCTCCGGAGGGGCCCGAAAGGGGCACGAAAGGGGACCTTTTCTGACCCCCCCATTTGTGACCCCCCCATTAAGCCACGCCCAAAGGCCGCCACGACGCAGAGGGGTCCCGCGGGAAACGGGCCCCGAAGCTTTCCGGCAGTGCGTGGCCGGATGCCTGCGGAGGTCCGCGCAGCCCTCGCGGATTCCCTCGCAGGGCCTCGCCCCGGCGGCCCCTCCCTCTGGCACGGGGGGCCCAGCGCCGCCTCAAAAGTCGAGGAGGAGGAGGAGGAGGAGGAGGTTACGAAATTTGCTGCATGCAGCTGGTTTCGGCCTCACCGAGGGGCCCATTCCTGGATACACAGCCGCCTCCGGCGCCTGGAGGCGCCGGGAAGATCAGCTACGTGAGCTGATTCTCACCCCCCCCCCTTTGCTCTCCCCCCCTCTCGCCCGACCCGAAAGAGGTCCGGGCGGTCCTCCGAAAGCCTACGTTTCCAAGCAAGGGCGCTGAAATCAAGCAGTGACGAAGCGTCCTGGCGTGCCTACAGTCGATCGGAGGTGGACAGACCTCCTACCCTGACGCGTCGATGAAGGAATTGGCCGTTTTCGGTTCGCGGGAGGGCGTCGCGGCCGTCATTCTTGCGGGTCCAGGTCCGTCGGTTTCGGTCCCAGGCCGTTTTCACTCAAGGGAGGTTTACTAAAGGGAGGTTTGTCCACAGTCGAAATCAAGCAGTGACGAAGCGTCCTGGCGTGCCTATAGTCAAGGGCGTTCAAAGCGCCCCTACCCTGATTTACGAGGCGCTGTGCGCGGAACCTCCCGTGGGCTGACAGGGTAAACCATGCATGTCGCGCGTGTCGCGCGGCGTCCTGGCGGCTCTCTGGCCTTTGGGAGCTCCCAGGAGGTTTGCGGACCACGCACTTGTAACCCAGGGTAGGGGCGTTTTTGCATCCTTCAATATAGGCCTACCAACACAATGTTCTAAGAACCTTTTGTGATTTCCACGAAGTGTTCTTGCTGGGACTGTCTTGTTTTCACATCGGGCTTATGGTCTCAGAACACTGGTTTTGTTCTTAGAACATTTTTGGGGTTCTCAGAACATTTCGTGGTAGGCCTATAGAAATGCCGGGACGGTCGGTCCCTGTTCAACGAGAGGAGGGGCAGTTCTGGATCGAACGGGCTCGCTGCTCCTCAGGTCCGTCCAGCGCTTCTCCTCTGGCTCTCCCCGTGCATCCCGGCGCTCCTGGGGCCATGAAGGCGCTGCAGTGATGATTCGGCGCTCCTTGTGGCAGATGACTGCATCTGGTTCTCTCTTCTTCCACGCGCGAAACATGCACAACAGTGCTGTGGAAGTCGATTGAGGGAGAGGAAGCATGCTGCCAAAGAACTTCCAGATGTCCAAAGCATGTTGCAAGCATGTGTGAAACATGTAAAGACATGTTGGAAACGCTTTTAGAACATTTTTTCATAGACATGGTAAACACATGCTTGAATTCAATGATCGGACTGTTACAGTGCCGTTTTTAATACATGCTCCGCGTGCGGATCATGTATTAAGATGCAGGGATTTCGTATTAAACACAACGATGAGTTCATGCATACATGCACACATTTATTCATATACTAATTATGTGTTGAAAACCATATATTTTAAGCATCCGGTGTCTTAACAACTGCCCTGTAAAGTGCCCACTGCCGTGGCATCCACGACGACAGCGGCCCCCCTCCTGCCCCGAAGGCCCTGCTGGATGCGGAGGCGGCCCGCGCCATCCTGGAGCACTGGCTCGAGGGCGACCCGACCATGGGGCTCTCGAACAAGGAGCGGTCGGAGCGCGTCGCGCCGTCCAGGCCCGGGGCCCGCTCCTCGAATCGGGGGCGGAAAAGAGGGGGGTGATGATTCGGGGGGGGGATATCATGGCGGGGGCCATGATATCTCCCCAGATGTCAGGGCGCCTCTTCTTGTTTCATTACGTCCCTGCCCCCCCCCCCTGGGCCGCGCACATGCCGCCGGCCATGAGTTGCATCCCCCCCCTCTTGGACACCCCCCTCTTTGCCGCTCCCGATCGAAGAATGATGTCGGGCCTGTCCCTCCACAGGAGGAATCTTCAAAAGTAGCCCAAAAATAGTCTGGGGGCGATGTCTTGCCTCTGTTCGACGTTTTTTTTGTGGGGGTATTTTTGGATTATATATATATGTGTGTGTATACATATATGTATATATATATACATATATATATATATATATATATATATTCGCCGAACATCGGCCTGTAGGGGGACAGGCCCGACCTAATCGAAAAGGGCGAATTGCCCACTCCCGGAGCGCCGCGCGGATTTTTTGCTTTGGGTCGGCGCTGGCCCCTCTCCTCCTCCTCCTCCTCCTCCTCCTGCTCCTCCTCCTGCTCCTGCTCCTGCTCCTCCTCCTCCTCCTCCTCCTTCTCCTCCTCCTCCTCCTCCTCCTCCTCCTCCTCCTCCTCCTCCTCCTCCTCCCCCTCCCCCCCCCCTCCTCTCCTCCTCCTCCTCCTCCTCCTCCTCCTCCTCCTCCTCCTCCTCCTCCTCCTCCTCCTCTCTCCCCCTCCCCCTCCCTGGCCGGCGCCCCTCGGCGCCGCCCCCCGGCGCTCTCCGCGCGCCCGGGAGGGGGGGGGGCGCTGCAGCGCCGATCCAGGAGCTCCGCGCGGAGCTCCTCAGGGTTCCTCCTTGTCCTCCTCCTCCTCCTCCTCCTCCTCCTCCTCCTCCTCCTCCTCCTCCTCCTCCTCCTCCTCCTCCTCCTCCCCCATCCCCTTCGAGGCCCCCTACCAAATTATCCCCCCCCCCCCCCAAGTTGGGGATGCGCCCCTCGCAGCCCGAAGGGGGGAACGACCCACTTCCCCGTCGAGGGGGGTCAAAAGTCGGCCGGGGGGGCCCAGGCCACGCCGCTGGGGATGGGGGATCGGTGAAACGGTACTCAGAGGGGGGCGGTCCAGCGCCGATCCGAGAACTCCGCGCGGCACACCCCTCACACGGTTCGTGGCCCCATAGGGAGCCCCACCTGAGGTCCCAGTGGCGGATTTCGCATGGCATCCCCGCCCCATTTTGGCGCACCCAGCACACGTTCCGTGGCCCCACAGGGAGCTCCACCTAAGGTCCCCGTGGCGGAACGCGCATGGCATCCCCGCCGCGCACCCCTGACACGTTCCGTGGCCCCTATAGGGAGCTCCACCTGAGGTCCCAGTGGCGGAGCTCGCATGGCATCCCCGCCCCATTTGGGAGCTCCGCGCGGAGCTCCGCAAGGTCATCTCTGTGCTTAAGTCGGGCCTGTCCCTCTACAGGGGGAATATTTGAAAATAGTCCCAAAATAGTCTGGGGACTATTTTTTTGACTATTTTCCAGCATTTCGGGGTATTCTTCGACTATTTTTTATTTTTCGTCGAACATCTCCTTTGTAGGGGGACACGCCCGACTTAACTCTGTGCCTCTCCTGTTTCCCTGGTTTCTCGATCCGACCGGTTTGGCTCGGGCTCGCTTCGGGCCGGCCTGATCTGATCCGACTCCGACCCTCACACGTTTCGCGGCCCCATAGGGAGCTCCACCAAAGGTCCAAGTGGCGGAACTCGCGTGGCATCCCCGCCCCATTTCGGAGCTCCGCAAGTTCATCTCTATGCCTCCCTTGTTCTTCTGTCAAAACTAGCCTGGGGGCTATTTCTTTTAGCGTTTGTTGGCCATATTTTGGTGTATTTTTTGATTCTTTTTTATGTCTCGTCGCAGGTCCCCCTGCAGGGGGACACGTCCGACTTAAGCCAAGAGCCCAAGCACGCGGGCCGCCCCCTGGTCGCACCGCACGCAGCGGCCGGCAAGCCGCGCACACCACATGTTCGGGGAAACGTGAGACTCGAGTACGCCAGAACTCGTGCTTGCCGACGCTTTTCGACGAGCGCGACCTGGATTTTGACGGTCCAGGCTTCGTGGGATGCTTGCTTGTTTGCCTGGCTTCTCGATCCGACCGGTTTGGCATCTCGAGCATTTCGGGGTATTCTTCGACATTTTTTTATTTTTCGTCGAAAATCTCCTTTGTAGGGGGACACGCCTGACTTAACTCTGTGCCTCTCTTGTTTCCCTGGTTTCTCGATCCGACCGGCTTGGCTCGGGCTCGCTTCGGGCCGGCCCGCGCTGATCCGACGCCGACCCCGCAGCGATCCGCGTGCTCCGCGGGCGCCCTCGCCTCCCCTTTGGAGAGCTTCGCGTCCTCTCCCCGGAGCGAAGTCGGGCCTGTCCCTCCACATGACGAGCCAACGACACACACCCATACCCATAGAAGCATTTAAGAACTCCCCCGGCGATATCGTAGCACCGCATTTTTTTATTCGATATTCCGAGGGGCCGAAATAACCGAACGATAGCTTTAGCATCATCATCATCATCATCATCATCATCATCATCATCATCATCATCATCATCATCATCATCATCATCATCATCATCATAGCTCCTGGTGCCAGGTAACGCTTCCAGGGTGCGGAAGGGTTATCGATTTGCCGGAGGGGGGGGGGTTCTTAAATGCTTCCTGGGGTTAGGGGGATCGGAGAGGGCTATGGGTGCGTGCTGTCGGATACGGGGTCCCCGCTCGAACGGGAGCGTTCCCCGGGGTCCGACAAGCCGCACCCATACCCATAGCCGGTCCTCCTCCAACGACCCCCCTATGGGTATGGGTGCGTGTTGTCCGTTCGGCACTACAGGGGGAATATTCAAAAATAGTCAAAAAATAGTCTGGGGATTTTTTTTGGACTATTTGTGGGCACTTTTGGAATATTTTGTGACTATTTTTTTGGGTTCGCCCAAAATCCCCCTGTAGTGGGACAGGCCCGACTTAACCCTGGAGGTCTTCCCTGGAGGCTCTCTCGCCTTCTTCTGAGGGTTTGCGGCCCCGTGCTCGCACGGCGCTGCCGTGCATCGTGTCGCGGCCGGCCCGGTCCGCTTTCGGCTGCGTGCTGGTGCTGCCCGGTCCGATGCACGCCCCTCGGGGCGATCGAGATTGGTACGGAACGAGTGCGTACGATGCCCAACAGCAGTTCTGGTGCATTTTGAACAGGACTCGCTGTCCGCGCCGCCGCGAACGTTGTTCGGCGACGAGCGAGGGGGGGAATTGAGAAGGAGAAGGCCTTCTCAGAAGGCGGCGGGACTTCTCAGAAGCCCTCGGGCCTTCTGAGAAGTTTTTTTCTGTCTTCGGGGAAGGCTCAGAAAACTTCCTGGATTTTGACAGTCCTTTTTTCGTGGGATGCTTGCAGTGGGAGCTCGCGTCAAATTTCAGACTGGGTCTCGGCATTTTCATGATGGCCCCGTCAGGCCAACCCGAGTCCCCCGTACCCGAGTCTTGCGTGTCCCCGACATGTGACTCTTGTCTGGGGCCACTTTTACTTTCAGTATCGTTTATCCGACCCCCATCCCCATCCCCATCCCCATCCCCATCCCCTTCGAGGCCCCCACCAAATTACCCCCCCAGTTGGGGATGCACCCCTCGAAACCCGGAGGGAACGGCCTGTATCCCCATCGAGGGGGGTAAGTCGGCCAGTGGGGCCCAGGCCACGCCGCTGGGGATGGGGATCGGATAAACGATACTCACTTACGTGGAGCCGAGCCAGGGAGTCCGTCCGGGAGTACCTGGCGTGGAAGAAGAATCCGCTGGTGGGAGTCCGGCGGCCCGTGGAGCCTCAGGTCGAGGAGGAGCAAAAATGCGGGAGCACGATTGCTTGGAGGTTGGAGAGAGGCTCGACTTAATACTCGGGGCCAGGAGCATGTCCACGATACTATGTTGTCTGTGTCCGCCACTTACTGGCAAATGGAGGCCCAAGCGCAGGGCATGTTTTTGCAACATCTGTCACCGGGAGAGCAGACCAGAAAGTTATACATTACGTTGTCCTGTGGCGTTTCTTCGGAACCCCTAGGGACAGGGCCCAGATACCTTAGTGTATGTACGCGCGGTTCCCATATCCACCGCTTCGTTTGGTCGGCCACGGATCCAACGGACTCGACGAAGATTTTGGTTCGGTGTGCAGACGCTCCAGCATCCTACAGGTTGGGAAGCTGGGGCGTCTGGACATCGAGCTCCTTGGCCGACCAGGCAACCTGGATTTTACTTCGAGTCCCTCTCGCGAGGATTTCTTGGATCGGCGCTGGCGCTCCGTGCACCAGGGATGCGGGTGTCCAACTCCGATCCAAGAGGTCCGCGCGAACCTCCGAAGTTTGTGCAAACGCCGGCATTTCTTCTTTAGGAGAAGGATGATAAGCTTCATAAACATAAACTTTTGGCGCTCCCCGCGTTTTTTTTTGGATCTGCGCTGGACCCCCCTCCCTGTCGCGCGGAGCGCGCCGGGGGTCCCAGCGCGGATCCAAAGAAATCCACGCGGAGCGCCAACAGTTTATGTACATGGTGTCTGTTTCTTTTTTATTCGTCCATCAGGGCCCCGGCAAGGAGGCCATCGAGTGGGACGACATGCACCCCGAGTACGAGGTTGACCAGCAAAAGCTAGGGGGTGTGTGGTCCTTTACCCCCACCTGGGTGGCCCATCGGCTTCAACACCCCACTCGGGATAGCGTCGATTCGACGGGTTCCCCAGGGGAGCAGGGACCATCATTCCCTCCTCCTCGTCGTCGTCGTCCTCCTCCTCCTCCCTCCCTTTGCTCCTCCCCCTCCCCCTCCCCCTCCTCCTCCTCCTCCTTCTCCTCCTCCCCTCCTCCTCCTCCTCCTCCTCCTCCTTCTCCTCCTCCTCCTCTCCCTCCTCCTCCTCCTCCTCCTCCTCCTCCTCCTCCTCCTCCTCCTCCATTCCTTTTCCCTCTAAGTAACCTCTCCTTGTCGCACCCCGAGGCCAGTTTTTAGGGCGGGCCGGTCGTTTCGTCTGAGACTTCCTCACCATTTATGCCTTGAAGCTTAAACATTGGCAACCGTTTCACAGATGGAGGGCGGGTCGTTTTCAAAAGTGAGGCTCTCGCATATAGCACAGCGTACACTCGTTTTCAACACTTGCAACTGTTTCACGGATTGAGGGCGACCCGTTTTCAAAATGTGGCTCTCGCCTCAGCGCCGCGCACACCCGTTTTACAAACTTACAAGAGTTTCACGGATCGAGGGCGGTTCTTTTTTAAAGTGTGGCTCTCGCCTTGGCGCCGCGCACACTCGTGTTTTGACTTTGCAAGAGCTTCACGTGTTCCTATGATCAGCGTGCCAGAAATTGTGTTTGGGACGGATTTAGGCGTATGAGGGCGTAACAGTGGGCGCAGCAGTTACGTTGATTCGCGGTGCTGATTTCCCAGGAATGGCGTTCTGGCACGAATCGGGATCGTCAAGACGCAATAGTCAGATTGATCGGTGGCGTTGGGATCCCGAGCACAATGTTTTGGCATGCTTCAGGGTTTACAAAGGTTGTTTTCCAACGAGGCAGCTCTCTCAGTGGAAATGAACCGTTGTAGGGGCTTCTTTCTGAAGAGGGAGCTTGGGTTCTTCCAACATCGTTGAAACTCTTGGGTGTACACTGGTCCTCCTCGTCGTCCTCCTCCTCCTCCTCGTCCTCCTCCTCCCCCTCCTCCTCCTCCCCCTGACGCTGCGGGTCACGCGCGGTCTGTCCGCGAAGCGCCGCGGCGCCCGCGCGGCCGCGCGCGGACGCCACGAACTGCGTGCACGAACTGCGTGCACGTGCACGCGCCGACGACGATCCCTCGAACGCGCACGGGCCGAGCCTCGGCGCGCACCGGCCGACGAGCGAGCGGCGAACGCCGGGGGAGAGGCGAGGAAGCCTCCCGGGCACCCACGAGGAAGGGGGCACCCAAGAGGAGGAAGGGGGGGGGGGGGGCGAGGCCAGCGACAGCCGAGGTCGAGGCGCCGAGGCCAGGCCGGGGGGAAGAGGGAGGAGGAGGCCTCTGGGGCCTGTGAACAAAAAGGGGGGGGGATCGGGAGGCGGAGGCCTCCGGGGGCCTCGGGCTGCGCCCGTCGGGCCCCCGGTGTCAAGGGGAGCACGCCTCCTCCCCTTGTTGGGGCACCGAGAGGGGCGAGTGGCATCCAACTGTGACGGCTCAGGTCGGCATCAACGTCCTATCCTTGGGACCCCATCCCTCAGGGCCCATCTCTGAGCCGTTGACCTGATGTGCTCGCCCTCATCCTTGATGCGAAGCACACCGCCATCTCTTCCCCCCCGTCAGCGGCCGCCGTCAGCCCCCAGCCCTTGTGCCGAGGGGCAGGCGCGCTCACCGCCGAGGGGGGCCTTCATGATGGTGTGGAGCTCCGCGAGCCGGGTGCCGCCGAGCGACTCGAGGTGGTTGCCTCGCTCGGTGGTCCTGCGCCCCTGTTGCGGGCAGCAGCACGAGGCAACGTGCGCCCCGCGGTCCGCACGCCGCCCCTGCTCGCACCGCGGCGCCGCGGCCCTCGTCCTCGGCCCCCCTCGGCCCTCCGCAGGGGGTGCTGGCTCCGAGGGGAGGTGTCACGGCTCCCCGAGGCGCCACGGTTCACTCTCGTCGCCTGACTGCAGTCGGGGCCCTGAAGAAGGAACCCTCTTCGTTGTTCCTTGATTGTTTCACAGCTTGCCTCGGGTTTTCCTCAGGTTTTCGACAGGACATCGAAGTTTAACTTATGGAAAAAAAGGGGCCTCGGTCCTTCTTTAGGGTTCCTAGGTCAACGCCCCGACTGTATCCTCCGAAGGGATGCAGGCTCCAAGATGTGTTCCGGGTGGCGCCCCAGGAAGCGACTGCCTGCGTGCTTCCCGCCGGGTCTTGCGTCCTGTCGTCTGCGAGTCCATTGGTGCTGCGTCACGGCGTTCCCCACCCACCCTTCGGCGCTGTGCGCTGTGGGGTCCGCTCGTGGGCTCGTCTGCTCGCTCTCCACGTGGTAGCGGTCGTTATATGTAGAGTATTCGTTGAGGCCGCCACTCTTCTTTCCGTCTGTGTGGCTGCTTCCGCGTGCTGCCGCCAGGATTCTGATTGTGTCGTCGTCGCCGTCGCTGGTGTTAAGGAAGTGCTTGCTTGTGATGAATAGGTCGATCACGGTGACGAGGTTGTGCCTCTCCAGATGTTGTAGTTCATGTGGGGCGGTTGTCGTCATAGGTCCGATATTTATCAGGCAAACCGTGTCATTAACGATGCACGTGTACATGAGGGAGATGGCGTCTCGTACCTTAGCGTTATCTTCCGTGATGGTCGTATGGCCGTGTCTATTGGCATCTCTTCTACCCCACGGGTGTTGTTCGTTGCGGAGTTGATTGCTGTTGCCTATGCTCGGGGTGGACTTCTTGTAGTAGGTGGAGTCGATTGTACCATTCAGTATGGCGTCGTGGATAGCGTTGTTGGTGTGGTCGGTCTTTCTGTGGTTGTGCTTCTGGCTCGTGTGGTTGGCTACGGCGGGTATGCGTACTCGTCGGTGTTGTAGCTCCGCTTGCTGCTAGATGCCGTTGCCGATGCGCATTGTATCGTCACTGTCGGCATTCTGGTCGGTGATGGGCAGGATCGTAGTCTGGTGTATCCCGTCGTTGCATGGCCCTGTCGTCTCTCCGTCGGTTGTATCGACTCGCGCATGTCGTAGTCGTCGATCGCCTAGTAGGGCGCCTTCCATCTGCCCTCGTCGCACATCTTGCCCTTCGTTTGCTTGCGGTGACAGAGGGGCTGGTGCAGGAATCATCGAGGTGCCTTCGTGCTTCGCGTCTGTACGTGGTGCGAGTGATGGTCCGTGGAGTTGGACGCAAGGGCGTTCTGCGTAATCTTCGGTCGTCTTTTGTTTTTGTTGGTCCGCCGTATGTGCCTCATCTCCTCGGGTATGTCGTTGGCTGCGTCGTCGTCGAGCCGCTTGCTGAACTTCATGGCGAGCGATGCACACTGTCTGCTGGCGCACATGTGCTTGTGCAATCGGTTGACCGTCCAATACTCCCGCACACAGGCCTGGCATGTAGTCCCGTGGATGTAGTTGATTATATGTTCCTGCTGGCTGTGCTTCGCGCGCATGTGCTTTTGGTACGCTGCCTTGCCGTTCAGGATTTGCCCGCATTCGTAACACAGGTACTTGCAATCATGTTGAGGGGCTTCGCTGTCAGGCGTCGGGATGGTGGTGCCGTCGCACATGTCGTTGATGCGTCTTCTCCAGGCAACAGTGGCTGCTTTTTCTTTGTTGAACTCGATGGCTGTCCTGTAGGCATGTGTGGTTATACTTTTGAAGTTGGATAGTTCTTCTTTTGCCATGCCGATCCATTGGCGTATGTCGTCGTGACTGGGCGTGTTGTGGTGCTTGCTGGTGTACGTCTTGGTGTGGTGGAGGTCGTCTGCAACCGTAGTAGACCATCTGCCGTTGTTCTCGATGTCGTAGTCGAGCCCGTATAATCTCTCGCAACCTTGCCTGTCGTAGTCTTTGTTGGAGTGTCGCGATGCCTGCCCAGCTGATGTTCTCGAGGTTGGTGATCTTCTCCCGCTGAGTTGTCTGATGGTCAATGCCCAATGCCATCCTCGCTGCTGCTGTGTATGCAGTGGCGATCCTGTCCGCGTCTGTCCTTTTTGCAGGTGTCCAGGTTCCTGCATTGTATAGTAGTCGTGGGTATCCAAGGGCATTGAGATAATGTATCTTGGCGGTTTTGGTGATCTTGTCGCGCTTCAAAACCGTCTTTCGGAGTGGTGTGGTAGCCTCCTTTAGAGCAAGTAAACGTGCTGCAGCTTCCTGGGTAAAGTCGTTCCGACCATTCACCATTGCACCCAGGACTTTGAGCGTTCGCGTGATCGTGACTGTCATCCCCATGTCCGTGTATTGTTTCTGGTCGATATGTATTTGTCTCGCAATTATTTTTCCATTCTTGTTGCTGGCGAAGATGGGGAAGATGGACTTGGCAAGATTGATGGGGGGATCCTCGCGATAGTCTCGTTCGTACCAGTATCCCCCACATGGTTTTGACTGTAGTCTCGATCGCGTTGCCGTCGGTGACCGTTGCCATAGCTTTCACGTCGTCGACGAATGATGTTGTCGTCATGTGCTGGACTTCAGGATTGGTGCAGGATGCTGGTGGGCTGTCTGATATTCTTACTGTGGCGTCCGCTTTGATGGCCTCTTCATGATAGTCTTTCGTAACTGCAGACATCAGCGCATTGAATGTGAAGTCGGCTATAGATACTCCTGGTCGTGTTCCTAGCCTTGGTGCTGCGTATTCTGAGTCGCGCTCTGTGAAGAACCACGTGTTGCGGTGGGCTTCGGTCAGCATCGAGAGCATATGCTTGTTGTCTATGTGGGTGCTGACGATGCCGTTGTTGTTAATGAGGGTTTGAATAGCCGGCTGCATGCATTGAGGGATGTCCATGTGGCAGATCAGGTTGTCAATGTCGTCGGTGCTCATCTGCGTATCGTATGCCAAATTCGTGGCTACCTTGTTAAAAGCGGATTTCAAAACAATCATGATCATGATGAGGTTGGTTCCTGCCGCAGCTGCGAGGTTGAAGGTCAGTCGCATTATGGGGTGGTTGTAATCCGTGCTGTAGTGGTTTCGATTTCCCATCTGAGTGCTGAAGAATGGCCCAGGCAACAAGTCCTTCATGCATTGGCGTATGTACCTGTAGTGGTGCTTGATGATGATGTTTGCGAGCGATATCGATCGGTGATTTTGTAGCGTCTCTTCGGCCCCTTTTCCTTTCCAGAAGTGTGTCATTTGCGATCCTTTGTGCGCCACTGCTTCTCGGATGAGCCGTGCAGTCTTTGAAATTAGCGGGCGCATGTGGCGTGCCATCTCTCGTGGCGCCGCGTGGGCAAGGCCGTCGGTAATTTCGTCGGGCCCTGCAGCTCGTCCAGGTCTGCACCGGGCCAATTGTTCTTCAAGCTCGTAGGTGCTGGCGAAGCTGTCGATGCTTCGGGTCGTGTTTTTGTCGCAGATGTCGTCCATGTTGTTGTATCGCTATGATATGTCGGTCTTTGTCATGATGGCTGCAGCTTCTATGTCGCCGAAGTGGTGGACGGCCTCGTTGTGCTTAGCCGCCGCGTCTGTAATAACCTCGCCGTTGCTGTCCACCATCATCGGGAATGTCCGTGTCTTGCGGCGCTTGCGCCCGCCAAATATTAGAAGCTTACGTACTCGTTTCCATTCGCTGTATGGCTCGTTGTTGTGCCTCGCTTCTGCTGCGCGTGTGGCTTGCTGGTAGAGGAACTCGTCGTAGTCGTCGTTGACCATGTGTGATGATTTTTTCCGAGCATCATTGGACCACTCTCGCGCAGAGAATCCGTTGTAGTCGTTTCTGATGTTAGCCCGCTGCGCTTCGATAGCGAGTCGTATAAGTCCATTGTAGTGTTGGTCGCGGTACTTTGTCGGTAAGCTTTTTGTCGGGTGTTCGATTGTGTAGGCTATCCCTTTGGTGATTCTTCTGGTAACCAGGTAGTGCTTTCGTCCATGCTGCGCTGCCTTCCGTAGTAGCTTTGCGAGTCGTCGTCGGTCGATGAGAAACTTGAAGGTTTGGTCGGAAGTATGCTCCTGCATCTTCTTGTGCTGGTTTTTGGGGAATGCTGCGGTGGCTGCTTCCATGATGCTGAGCGGGTAGAAATAGGCGTGCTGGTCAAGGCTGGTATACCAGTCGGGGATCACCGTCGCATCCAGCACCTGCTTGAATTTGTTGATCGCCTCCTCGTCCGTCAGCTTTGTTTTGTCGATCTTTGGGGACAGTTTCCTGTTGGCCCTGGTAGGTATTTGGCAAGCCACTTGTGCAAGCGCAGGAGTGTGATCTTCTCGTGGTTGGTCCGCTTTGGCCTGCTTTTTTATCGTCTCTAGGTCTGGCATCGTCATGCATGCTGTCACAGCTTGATGTAGTTGTTCGCTTAACATGATGTAGTCGATGCGGTGTCCGTGTCCGTGGGCATCTTTCCATGCATGGTGATCTTTGCCGTCTGATCTATGGGTATTGACAATGGGCATGTGCTGACGCTGCCAGTTCGTGTAGCCGCTGTCTATTTTCATCTTGTTGCTGTTGTAGTCCTGCGGATCCAACCCATTGTGATGTCGTAGATCCCACTCGCCCGCTCGCGCCAATGACGATTATGGGCGGGTTAAATTTCGGTACCAGCTCGGTTACTCCCAGAAGTCGTTGCGTTCTTTGGTATTATTTTTCTTGTGCGGAGCATGCGCAACACATGCGATGTGGTCGAAGGCCTTCGCTCGGATCCGCACAATGAGTAGTTGCGGCCTGGCTGCGATGACGTGGAAATCCGATGGTTGAAACATAGCGGCACCGTTGGTGTTATAGCAAATGGCATCGTAATATTGGCCCACAATTTGCATCCGCAGTTGCAGTTGTGGTGTGGACTGCTGATCATGTGGTGCCCGTTGCTGGTAGCTACTCGTCGCTCGTTCATTCCTTCCTGGGTCCCGATAAGGTGTATTCCGCGATACTGTAGCTGACGTCGTATGATCGGCCCCCGCCACTCATTGGTCAGTCTTCCTGCTCTGGTCATCTTTTTCTGGACTGACGGCTCCGCTTCTCTGGCGCTTTCGACGTTGTAGGTCAGGATGTTGATCTTGATCTCCGCTGAGATGTTTGTAGTCTCCGTCGGCGCTATCATGTACTCGGGCTTGGCGTCGCGCTGCGTGTCCTCGAAGATGAGGTTATTGTCTTCCTTAGCTGGGTATGCGTGTCTATCTCGGTTGTTCTTGTCCAGTACTTTTTCCCATTGGTAATATTTGCTGGTGGTGATAGCGAGTTGGAAGCTCCGCGAGATGTTACTGGTGGGCTTGTTCTTCTCGTGCTTCTTCCGCTCGCGCTTTGATAAACAATCAGCTAGTTCGTTCCAGGGCATCCCTTCGTGGCTTGGCACGTGGTGGAGGTCGATGCTGGCGATGGTACTGGCGCAAGCGAATGCAAGCTTGAGGTACATGGCGAGGTCGTTGTCTGCGGTCGAGGTTACCGTACCGTGCATATGTCGATGACCGTCTTGCAGTCTGTAAAGATATTGGTGTGCTGCAATTCGTTGGCCGCAATGATCCACGTGAGTGTCTGTATTACTGCCATGATCTCGCCTGTGGTGTTGGTGTATGCGCTGCTGTTGAGATCCATGTTGTGGCTGTTGCTGACGATGCTGTAGTAAGCGCCCCAGAATGTACGTTCTTCGAACATATGGGCTGACTGCGGAAGTATGAAAGCCCAGGAGCATCTGTCTTTCTTCTTAGTATTGTAAGACGCGTCCGTGTAAAAATTCTTCGTGCTGTGGCCGTTGTTGCCACTGGGGGTCGAGTCGAGGGAGTGCCGCGCTGCGGGGTGCAGGTCGTCGCCGTAGACGTTCTGGTATAGGGTAGGTGCTGGCGTTGCTTGTATCCGTGCCTTCGAGCTGCTGGCGCGGCCACGGTCGCACTTGGTGTCGAACTGTCGGTGGTTGATGCTGTATTGGCGTAGCAGTTGTTGTCGGGATCCTTCTTGGTCGGTTGTTTGTGTTGCTGCGCGGTGAGTGAATTATCGGTTGTTCAGGTTGGACCTTATTCGGTGTAACTCTGAATGGTTGCATGGCTCTGGTTGTGCGCGTGGTCGAGCTACTTGCGTTGTCGTGTGGCTTAACTCCTAGATGTCGTCGCGGCTGTCGGAATGGTAACATTGCGGGTCGTATGTTTTGTGTTGGCTTGTAGTGGTGGTCAGCTCTTTGTCGTGCTAGTACACCGGTGCCCTGGGATGCTGTCAGGACTGCCGGCGTATCGGTGGCGGTTTGTAAAGCGTGCTGTAGATTGTTGGTAGGTTGTGTAACTGCTTGTTGCGTGTGCTGGTTGTCGGCTGTTGGGTCATGTGAACTCCTCATTCGTCGTTGGGATAGTGGGGGTGTCGATCGCTGGGTCGGCGTGCTTATCGTGGGGTCGGTGTGGGGTCGGCTTCTTGCTGGTCGTGGAGTAATGGTGGTAGGCGCACTTGTTTGGCCTCCATGCGCCGACTTCAAATGGGGTTCGTGGCCGTCCCACCTCGCCCCGCTATGGCTAGGGGCCACTGTGCCCCCGGTGGGGGCGAACCCCAGGCCTAGTGCTTGCTTCTGCACTCGGTGGGGTAGGTCGCGTCTGTTCTGTGCTCCGCCTCTTGGGCGTTCGGGTGAGTTCCACCTCCGCCGTGGGGATGGTGGGGGTGGCGATCTAGGGCGGACCGCGGGGGCGCGGGTAGTGGCCGTCCTACCCCCCCCCTGCTGCCCCTCACCATCCCCCCTGGCAGGCGCGGGCAGTACTCGTCCTGCCCCCCCGCCCTTCGAGCCCGTCTCGAAGTTTGATCCGTGTCTCGCCAGGACAGCGTTGACGTGCACGCGTTTTGGTTGGTTGTGGCTGTCAAGTGCGTCATCGTTGTCGTCGTCAGTCAAGTTGTCGTTGACTCCGTCATGCAGGTCGTTGTTTGCACTGCGGTTGTCGTGGGCTGGCTTCGTCGAGTCGGGCCTCGATCTTCGTGACGCGGTCGCACGCCTCGTCGTCGTGGTCGTTGCAATCTGTCCTGTCGATGTGCAGGTCATTGAGGAAAGTCTCCTCGATGTCGTCGAATTCATTTCCAATGAACAGCATGTTGTAGCCTTCATGTTGGTAAATTCAAAAAATGCGGCGTCTCTGAGCCAAAATGGCTAGTCGCCTTGTGTCTGCTGTGTGCAGGAGGTCGGTCGGGTCGCGGTGGACTGTGCACCACTGGTCTCGCTGGCTCCCGCCTCGGTGGTGTTGTGCTTATAAAGCGCACTGTCTTTGAGTAGTGGCGTTGCCGTGCTGGTCGCGGGGATTCCCCGAGATCCAGCTTCGTTTCTTTGGTTGGTTGTCGTGGGGTCGGCTCGACTAGAGGTTCCCGTCCTCGGAGTCGCATGGCCTGGCCCGTGGTCGAGGTGGCCGTGCAAGTAGATTTCCCATTGCTCTTGGCTCTTCCTCGGGAGTCGGATGTTGCTTCACTATCTGTTTAAGGCTTTTACTTTTTTTGCTTCGCGTGTATGCTAGTGGTTGGTCGAGTTGGTTGTGCCGGCATCGGGGGGTTGAGGTCAGTTGTCCCCAAAGCGTGCACCTCAATGTCGTCCCGAGTGTTATTTCTCCCGAGTGGAGAGGTTGGTGGGGCCGTCGGGCTGTCTGCTGTCACCGCACGGGTCGATCGGCATCGGTCCTCAGGCTGGATGCTAGTGTCGAGATTGCTCTCAGGCGTATTCCCTGTGGTCCTTTGGATACGACCGCAGGCTCTGCTTGCTGGTATAGTAGTCGGACTCCCCGTCTGGGCCAGCAGCCCCCCATCGGGTTCACTCCTACTCAGTCTTTTTGGCGACGTTGGATCGTCAGACCCATCGTGGTTGTCGATTGGTATCGGCAGTCGGTCTGTTGGGTAAGTGAATCCATCTCCTGCGTCGTGTATGCGCACCTTGCGCGTTGGTCGTTCGCGCGAGCTGCTGCGTCTGAGAGCTGACTTGGCTCTTGTCGGCGGAGCTGACTGTGCTCTGTCGGGTGTTCCGAGGTGAAGGCGCGGTGGAGGCTCGATAGGCTGCAAGGGAACTGTCGACGTGATGCTGTCGATGGTCATCCGTCGTGGTGTTGTTGGTGCCTCGCTCTCGTCGTCTCGGCTGATGTCTATCAATATGGTCGTAGTGGGTTGTCGATTCGATTGGATGTCGTCTTCGTTGATCTCGGGTGGTGCTGATAGTGCCCGTACTTGTGGGAAAACGGATTTCCTTGGATCGAAGTCTGGGGTTGGTTGTTCGGCAGGTGGCGTCGGACTTACTGGTGGCGTCGGGGTCAGCATTGCATCCGCGTAGTCTATGTTGTCTCGGAGGTCGTCGTCGTGGTCGAGGTTTGGTATGGGCGTATTCTGACTGTCGTTCGTTCGTGGCGTGTCAAGACTGATAAGTGCTTCTTCTGGGTGCAATGTTGGCGGAGTTGGGGTACAATATGCTGATGTTGGGTCGGTTGATGGTGGAAGTGGTGGTGCTTGTTCTGCTGGTGGTCGCGGTGCAAAGCCAAGCTGAGTGAGGCTGAAGACGCTGTCTGGCGTGCTGCGCGTTGCACCTGCGTTCTTGCTCTCGCTGTCGGCGCTGCTTTTCCATTCCTCTCTGTGCGGGCTGATGTCGGAGCGTGGCTGGTGATCCCGCACGACATGATGGAATGTAGCGCGCTCTCCATCTTCTCGTCGATTCTCTGCTGCTCGATGTCTGCCAGAAATCGTCGTCGCGTTTCTGCTTCGATGCCCCTGCCAATCTCGAGCTCCATTTCGCCGATGCTCTCCGCTTCAATTTCTTTTTTTTGATCAGCTCTTTCTTTAGCGCCTGTTCGAGAGCTCGGTCTTGGTAATCATGCTGTGCACTTTCCTCCGAAACGATGGCCTGTTGTTGACGTAGTTCTTCGTGAAATCGCAGCCTGAGCTCGTGTACTTTAAGTTGCTGTCGTTGTTCATGTTGTAGTGCTTCTTCCTGTGTGCGTTGGTGGTAAGCTCTGCGCTGCTCTTCGTGCTCGTCTTGGTTTCGCTCCGCAGCGTGCTCTTCTTTGTTGGCGTATTGCTGCGATTGCCGTACCATCACCTGCCAAGTAGTCTGCTCGTTTCGCAGCCACTCTTGTGATTGGTATTGTGCTCGCTCATTCTCCTGTTGTAGTACGCGTTCATATTCTGCCATCTTGTGTATCGACTCCCACGTTGCGATCTGAGCGTCCTGCGCGTTGATCTTCTAGTGGTTGAGACGGTCTTCTGCTTGGACTATCTGTTGACGTAGTAGCTGTTGTTCATGCTGCAACTGTCCGTGCTGCTGATGAAGGGCTCGATCTGCAGCTGTTCTTCACGTCTTGCTTGTATATCCTTCTACTTCAGGTCGTGCTCTCTGGCGATCTTGGATTGCATCTCCCCGAAGTGGATGAGCGCCTCCTCCTGCAGCTTCGCCTTGTGGTGCTTTTATTCTCTCTGTATAGTTCACGTTGCTTCTCGAGCTTCTCCGTGTACTCATTCTGTAACTTCCAGGCCATGTCTGCGAGCTGCCTTTCGTGTTGTCTTTTATCCATGTTCTTTTGCTTGATGCTTTGCTCTTCTTCATTATGCTTGCGCCTGGCCTCCACGGCAACAGCTTTCGCTTCCTCGATTTCTTGTCCCGCCTTTGCGTGCTGCTCCATGCTCTGCCGTTCGAAGTATTCCTCCTGTCTCTTCAGGGCCTTCGTCGTGCTGTCGAGAGTCTTCGCGGCCATCTCCGTCTTCAGCTCCCTGTACTCGTGTTTCATGGCCTGGATCTCTTCATTACCCTTCTGGCTACGCTGCTCGTCCTTACGGATGTTAGCGTTGCGCTCGCTGTGGAAGAAATAGAGGTGGCGCTGGTGTTGGACGTACTCTTCTTGCTGCAGGTCCAGACGCTTGTTGAGTTCCTCGATCATCTTTGTCACATGTTGTCCATCGTCAGCTTGGGCGCGTTGTGCTTTCTGTCCTTGCCGTCGTGGGTGTGGTGTTTTCTCGCGCGTCTTCTTGTCGCCCCTGCTTTCGTCCGATGTATCTTCTCCGTCTCCTTCACAGCTTGAGCTTTCAGCTCCTGCTTCTAATCGTTCGTGAATACCTCGCTGACCTTTTGCGTCCGTGATTAGAGCCTTGATCTTGATTGCGTCAGCGTCGGACTTTTCCAGTTGTTCGTTCCATTCTTTGACTTTTTTCTGCGATTGCTCTCCTGTTTTTGTTGACTACGTCCGGGTCCTCTCTGTAGATCTTGATCCTCCCATTCGTTTCGATCGTGAGGTTGATAATACATTCTGTAATCTCCAATTCATCGATGGGTCGTCCTGCGCCCACTCTTGCTTGACGAGCTCCAGCGAGCTGATCAGCAAGCCGTCCGAGTCGTGCCGCCTTGGAGTGCTTCCACATACGGCGGATCTCCGTCTCATGCGGGGGGTAGGAGAAGGCCTCGTGATTGACCGTCCTCACCTCAGTACTCGGGATGAACTCGTCGATGAGGTCCTGCTGCTTTTTCGTGTAGACGAAATCCTGCATCTGAATCGTCTGTGTAGTATCTTGCTGGCTAATTCTGCTGGGGTCGTGGCGCCGTCTGGATACAGACCTGGCCTGATTCTTCTTCTTCTTCTTCTTCTGGTTGTAGTTCTTGTGGTAAGTGTTGTACGGGTTCTGGCTATCGTTGTTGTGCTGGTCGTGCCATTGTGGAGCCCTTGCCGATGACCTTCCTCGCGATGGCCTTCTCCATGGCCATGGCTGAGCTCCGACTGGTGGTCCCACTGTCGTCGTGCTGTCAGTCTGGCTGTTGACGGTGCCTGTCCGGCGTCCCTGCTGCGCCATCTCGTCCTGCTGGCAGCACTGTTGCTGCTGGTTGCGCTGGTGCTTTTGGGCGGAGTGGTGGCCGTTGAGGACGTTCGTCGCCTCCGCCACCCTGAGCAATGTCCGCGCTGACGCTCGGCGGGCGCGCTCCCGCCTATGCCAGGCGGGCTCCTGGGGCGTCGGGCCCCTCCCAGGCGCGCCTGCGGCGCGCGGCAGCGGAGGAGCAGCGGGCAGGGCGCGGCTGCGGCGGCGGCGGATGGCCGACCCGCCGCGGCGCGCGAGCCCGGCCCCGCGGGCGGCCGATCAGATCTGGCGTGAGCCGATCGGCCCCAGGGCGCGCCGATCGACCCCGAACGGATGATGGGTCACGGCCCAGGCCCGGAAGAGGCCAAATGGGCTTCCCTTCCCCCTCCTCCTCCTCCTTCTCCTCCTCCTCCTCCTGCTCCTCCGTTGTGGCTGGTTGGCGAGGACCAGCTGCGGGACCCGAGGTTCATCAGGGAGGAGGAGGAGCGGTTCGCCGCGTACATCCGCCAACAGAGGGTGGCCAACAGAGCAGCTGTACTTGGGGCGCGCCTCCCCAAGTACCGCTCGAAGGAGGACAACTCCGAGCTCAAGAAGCACTTCGCGAAGGCGATGAACATGCCGTCGGACGACCGCCTCATGCCGGGCGGGTACAACAAGCCAAAGGGATTCAGAGGCATGTACACAAAGGGGAAGCAATAGTCCTAATATACATGAATGTTCGAAGGTCCACGCGGGCTTCTCGGATTTGCACTGGACCCCCCTGCGGTGCCTCCAGCGCCGCCGCTGGCGCGATCCGCACGCTGGCGAGGGTAGGGGGCTACGTGCGAACCCTACCCCTATTCCCCACGATTTCTGAGGGGGAGGGTGGGGTTCACTTTATTCGGGAGCTCCCGAACGCAGTGAACCCCACCCTCCCCCTCAGAAGTCGTGGGGGGTAGGGGTAGGGTTCGCATGTGGCCCCCTAGAGGGGGTCCCAGCGCCGATCCAAGAAATCCGCGCGTACAGTGAGCGGCTTGAGTAAGGAACACTTGCTTTTCAAAAGGGGCTCGGTCGTTCCTTAGATTTTACATGCGTTATTTAGAGTTCCTTGTGCGTTATTTGTTGTTTATCGTTCCTTATGCGTCATTCCTTGGGATAAAAAAGGGGCTTCGTTCCTTATTTATCGTTCCTTAGGTCAGGCCGATGACTGTACCCTCGAACGTTTAGTCTCGTGCTGTCTGCTCTTCCCTCGAGCACCCTGCCGGGAGCTGCTCTGAGCGCGCGGCCGGGCCTCTCCAGGCGCAGTGGGCCGAGGTCCGGGCGCTCCGTGGCGGGCGGGCAGCAAACGGGGGGGGGGATCGAGGATTGCAGGAAGGCGGGTCTAAAGTTGTGGAAGTCGATTAATGGAGAGGAAGCATTCAAACGACGCGAAGATCGGGACAGAATCGGATCGGGATAACTCGAAATCTCTGAGAATCGGCGGGTTTGGAGGATGTATTGGGCGCCGCGGCCGCTCCAGAGCGTTCCGGAACGCTCTGAGAGCGCCCCGGAACGCTCTGGAGCGATTTATCCCGATCCTAGCCCTGTTTTAAATGGAGAGGGAGCATGTTGCCAAGTAGTTTCCAGATGTCTAGAAAATGTGTTAACATTGTTTAGAGCATGTGAAAAACATGTTGTCGTCATCTCCAGGACATTTTCCGACATGCTGAGCACATTTTCAGTTCGATGAAAGGACTGTTAGGATGTCCATTGGCGTGGCATCCACAATACTAGAGGGGCCCTTTACGGTCCCTAAGTTGCGGCCGCGGGCCCGAAATGTGCTGGGAAGGTGCACGTTTCTTCCCCGCCCCGCGCGCATTTCCGCTTCGTGAACCTACGCCCGAGAGTGGCAGGGGGCAGAGGGAGGCAGGCGTGTAGCAGGGGAGGGCAGAGAGGGAGGCAGGGGCAGCTTGACTCTCTCTTGGTCGTGCCGTGAAGTAGCCGAAGGAGTCGCGGACTGCGCGGTGGCATCGCAAAAAACAGGCGGGGATCCCGGAGCCGAATATAAGGACGATAACCGTTGGGATCCCCTTTTGCTCTCACTCTCTCTCTCTCTCTTTCCCTCTCTAGTCCCCAGTTTTTTCCCTCCCCCTCTTTCTCTCTCTCTTTCATCTCGGCTCGAGTGTCCCTCGCGGCACTGAACCTTAGGGATGCCACTTGTGAGCGGCGCGTAAGGTCGCGCGTAAGCGCGGTGTGCCACGCTGGCGGCCCGCGTAAGCCGCGGCGGAAGGTTGGTATGTCTTCTCGCGGAAGCCATTTTCTCTTCGTTGCTCAATTGAGCTCGGTTTATGTAGACAGCGTGTTTTCGGATAATCACTTTGCGGGGCACGCTGGGGTAATCAATGCCCTTCAGTTATTGAGCAGCCTGGTGGCCGCATGTGCCGGTTCAGTTCGCATGCGTAGGCATCGCATCTCCAAAGCACAGGCGGGAAGTAGCCTCAGGCACGTCCGTGACAAGTGACCAGTGCCAGCGAAGTCGCAGCCCAGGGTCTGGCTCTCACCCGTCAGCCGCTTGCTGGAAACGCGACCACGCGGTGAGCCCGACCCGCTTGCGACCCGAGCTGGAGCCAAAGCCGCTGCTGTTCCTGACCTCTGCATTCGCCTTGGCCCTTGCGGGCTCTCTTGACCTTGGCCTCCGTCCGCAGTAGGGCGACTGCGTCCTGGATTCTCTTCCTGCCGTCGTCGCCTGCGGCGCCGCTGCGCAGGCCGCCAGGGTCCTCGAGCTCCAGAAGGCCCGCGAAGTCGGTTCCCTCCGTGCCAACTTCATGAGCAGGCTGGGCCTCGCCACCAGGAGCCGCTGCAGCAGGCGCCGCATGTGCTTCAGCGGCGCGAGCGGCCGCGGAAGCAGCCGAGGTACCTGAGCTGGCCGCCGCCGTCTTGACCAGCTCGTCGAGGATGCCGTTGAATGCCTGGATGACCTTGGACCATCTTGCCCTCCGTGGGAATGTTCTCGACCTTGGTCTTGATGTGGCGCAGAGAGTCCTCCTCCACCGTGGAACAGTACACTCTGGCTGCTGTTTTCTTGGCCTCCTAGTTCTCCTTCTTGTGGGTGTCCAGGTCGGACTTTGCGGCAGCCAATTCCTGCAGACCTTTGCGACTCTGCGGGACCATCCTGTCGTACTTGCTTCTTGCCGAAGTAACCGCCTTCGCCGCTTGGTCCGCTGCGACAGGTAACTTACGTTCCTCACTGCCGAAGCTTCCCAGCAGCTTTGGCTCTACGAGCGGCGTCGATCTTGTTCCTGCTGCTGCGGCTGAGGTCAGGCTTGGCCTTCTCGTACTCGGCGGGCTCCATGGAGACGTACACAGCGACGCGCTCAGCCGATAGCGTGGTGCCCACGCCCTTACCGTTGGCTTTGCCGCCGCCCTTGGGGTCGCCCGTGCTGCTGGCCGCATCACCTCCGTCAGACCAGGTGTGAAAGTGTTTCCAGCTGCCGTTCGCCCACGTGTCACGTGCCGTGCGTTCAGGACCGACAGGCACCTGCGTCCGCCCCTTTCCACGGCGTCCGTAGTGTACGCACCTGCGCAAACGTTCGGGCGTGAAGTTATCACACTCCTTGTGCTGCCAGCAGGAAATTGCCGTCCCTGCAAGAGCACAGAAGAGTACGAGAAGGGTTCGGCTCCACCAGGAGCTCACCGAGATTTTTTGGGGGCGAGCCGTGGACCAGCGGTTTCCACGTGTCCAACTGTAAAACGCATAGTCTTGAGCCAACATGTCTACGGAGTAGGTTGTGCAATTTTTGTGGTGCAATATAGGTGGTGCAGCACATGTGGTGTACATTCTGTGTTGCGTAAGCTGTGTGGAGCAATGTATGTTCCGCGGTATATGTTGTGCAATCTATGGGGTGCGAACTATGTGGTGCAGTCAAAGTCGCGCAGTACAGATTGTCCAGTATAGGCGGTGCAACCTTTGCGGTACAACCTATGCGGTGCAACCAATCACTTGCTCAACTTGAAGCTGTCCTCTCCACTGCTCGCGCAAACATCCCACCCTCCCACCCGCAACTTGGTTTGCAAAACTTCTTAAGACCGACTACGACGACACCGACGACAACGACGACGACGACACCGACGACGTCTCCGACGACTTCGACGCCGACGCCGACGACGACGACGCCGACGCCGACGACGAAGACGACGACGAGGGAGGAGGAGGACGACGACGGCGACAACGACGACAACGACGACAACGACGAGGGAGGAGGGAGGACGGCGACGACGCGAACGACGACGAAGGAGGAAGGACGGCGACGCCGACGACGACAACGACGAGGGAGGAGGGAAGACGACGACGACAACGACGACGACGACGGTGACGAAATAGAACCGACGACGAGACGCCGACGACGGACGACGACGACGACGACGTGGGAGGAGGAGGACGGACGACCACGGCGACAACGACGACGGAAACGACCACGACGCCAAAGAGGACGACGACGACGAACACGAGAACAGACAGAGGACGACGTAGGCGACGACGACGACGACGACGCGGGAGGAGGGAGGACGGCGACGACGACGACGACGCAAGAGCGCGCGCGCACGCTTTTGTTGAAAATCCGTGTTGCGAAACCTTAGGTTTTTGTAGGTTTTTTGGACGCACGATTTTGACATCCTTCCGAAGCCGATGGGTTTTGAAGGTTTTCGGCATACGCCCGCGACGACGCGCGCGTCTACACTTCGTCTTATTTTTTGCCGAGGATTCTCGCGACGGCACACGCGCAAGGGCGTTCGACAGATTTCGACATGCGCGCGCGCGAAGCCCGTTTGGTAGCATCTTGTGAAGATCTTGAAAAACCTATGGTTTTCCTAAGATTTCGCAAGAGCTCGCGCGGAAGTTTTTTTCGCAAATCAGTGTTGCGAAACCCTGTGTTCTTGAATGTTTTTTTTTGGAAACTCGATTGCGAAATCCTTCCGGCACCGAAGGTTTTTGAAGGATTCCGGCATGCGCGCGCGACGACGCGCGCGTGTGCACTTCGTCCCGTTTTTTTTGCAAGGGATTCGTGAAGAAGTGTTATGTTATAACAAACAATGTCACCGCATGATTTTTTTACAAGGGAACCTCAGGGGGGGAACCCGGCCTGCCTGGCATGGTATGGTTTCATTTTTAGGATGGGCGAGTGGTCAGAATCATTATTTGATTTACATACCCGAAAGGGGAACGGATAAGTCCAGGGGGGGTAGAGTCTATTCTCCTTTTAGAAAGGAGAATCTATCTGGTGCGAAGGCTATGGGTTGTAACCTGCGTGGTGCAATTTATGTGGTGCAAGGTGTGTTGCACAGCCTAGGTGGTGCAATCTATGTGGTGCATTGGTTTTAGCAAGCGAGTTGACACATCCCGTGCTCTTGCAATCATCCCACCCACCCACCCGCAACTTGGTTTGCAAAACCCACAAGGTGGCGATTGCGATGCATGCTCGGCGTTGGCTGGTGCGTCTCTGCGGCCGCGCCAACCGCGCAGCGGCCAGCTGGTCTGGCGCGACCGACGCGGCCGCGGTGGCGCTGATCGTTGGGCACATACCAGCTGGCACTTCATTGCGAGTCGGCGACTTGGGCGGGCGCAGTATCATTGCAACGTCGACAACGGTAGGCGTAACGGCGAGTCCCAACGTCTTCGACGACGACGACAACGACGACGACAACACCGACGACGACGACGACGCCGACGCTGACGACGACGACGACGATGACAACGCCGACGACGACGCCGCCGGCGACGACGATGACGCCAACTACGACGACGGCGACGACGACGGCGACGACGAAGACGACGACGACGACGACGTCGCCAACGAAGACGACGACGAGGGAGGAGGGAGGACGACGGCGACGACGACAACGACTGGGGAGGAGGGAAGACGACGACGACGACGACGGCGACGAAATAGGAGGGACAACGACGAAACGCCGACGAAGACGACGAGGGAGGAAGGACGACCACGGCGACAACGACGACGGAAACGACGACGCCAAGACGACGCCAAGACGACGAGGAAAGACAGCGGACGATGACGGCGACAACGACGACGACGACGACGACGACGACGACGAGGGAGGAGGGAGGACGGCGACGACGACGACGACGCAAGAGCGCGCGCGCACGCTTTTGTTGAAAATCCGTGTTGCGAAACCTTGTGTTTTTGTACTTTGTGTGGACACCCGATTTTGAAATCCTTCCGAAACCGGTGGTTTTTGAAGGATTCTGGCATGTGCGCGCGACGACGCGCGGGCCTGCACTTTGTCTCGTTTTCTGCAGAGGATTCTCGCGACGGCACGCGCGCAAGGGCGTTCGAAAGATGTCGACATGCGCGCGCGCGCGAAGCCCGTTCCGTTTTTTTTTTTTTTTTTTTTTTTTTTTTTTTTTTTTTTTTTTTTTTTTTTTTTCCCCCCCCCTTCTTTTTTTGTTATATGAATAGTATAAAAAATCTTCAACACCGATGGTTCTCGTAAGATTTCGCAAGGGCTCGCGCGTAAGCTGTTCTAGCACACCAGTGCTGCGAAACCATGCGTTTTTGTATGTTGTTTGGAAACTCGATTTTGCAATCCTTCCGAAACCAATGGTTTTTGGAGGATTTCGGCATGCGCGCGCGACGACGCGCGCGCGTGTGCACATCGTCTGATGTTTTACATTGGATTCTTGAACAACTTGTAATTTTTGACTGACGAGAGCGCGCGCGTAATTTTTTTGCAGAGGATCGCGGTGGGGGGGCGATGCCGGTCTGGCTGGGATAATATAAATTCCCAGTTCGGATGGACGACGGGGCAGAATCATATGTAAATTGCAATACGGAAAAGTTGGCCCGTTAACTCTGGGTGGGGTGGGTTAGAGTTTATTCTTTCTTTAGGAAGGAGAACTCATTTGCCGAGCTTGAAATTGTTAACTCCACTGCTCGCGCAACCATCCCACCCACCCACCCGCGATGTGGTTTGCAAAAC